CCATAAAATATGAAAAGTTTGCAGAAAGAAGAAAATAAATCTTATATCTGCCCTTACACTCAAAGAAAAACATAGAATGGATTTAATAAAAAAAATTATGTCAGCTGGTTCCACTGAAATGAATTGAGGGAAGTTTAAGACATTTACTTCACATTAATTCCATAAATGCATTTCCTTTACTCAAATTAGTTGAGTGGAACCATTTAAATCCATTGAATCTGTTGTTTGAGTGAATATTATATTATATTTGTATAACTTAATATTGTGAGACGTCACTCAGAGCATGTGTAGTACATGATTTTCAGCTAAAATTACATTTGAAAATTTATAAAGTTTTCATAAAGTTGACTGACAAAGAAAAACTTATAATTAGGGATGGTTCAAGACTTTTGCACAGTGCTGCATGCACCATAATGAAGCATATCTGCTACAAAAGAATGGGCACTTACTGTTTGTTTTGATTGTTTTCAGTGAGTGTGTTTGTGGCGTATGCGTGACTGACCGTGTTATTGTTTGTGTGTGTCTGCACGTCGGGACTTACCGTTAAGCCGGAGCTCGGCTGGCTCTTGCTGTGGGGGGTAAATTTGGGTTTGGGTGGTTTTCCAGCCAGCCTATCCTTGTGCCGTCTGCTGTTCATGTGCTGCAGAGACCAGCAGAAACACCATTAGCGCGCTCGCGAGCATCTGTCGCACCACAGCGGAACAGCTTCAAATGTTGTCTGCTGAATAATGGATACACACTGAGCGAGACTGAGGCGCGCACAAATTACATCACATTACTTCACCGGCTGCAGTTCTCAAAGGCTTCTGTCCTCCTGGGGTGGAGGATGTTTATGTGAGGCTGCAGCAGCTTGGGTGCTCACACATACCAGCATATGATGTGYGCTTTCTAACTTTCTGCTCCAGCATGTCTTAAGAGTCTAAGAAATCACATTTCTTGAAGGACTGCATATGAAAAAAGGATGGACTGGTAGCAATTTGGTCAAACCTTGAAAGTATTACAGTGCAATCTCATGTAWCAGGGACAGGCAATTTGRCACCCTAGGCAAGATTTTAGGTGGCGCCCCTTGTGCAGTTTTCTAAATCTCACTGCCAATTTACATACTAATTTAAACTGTTTTGTCTTTGATTTATTTTTGATCTTTAGAAACCAGGTTGTCCAGTTAAAATAGTTAATWTAATTAATTTGAAACAAAATACCAGGAGTCTACCTCATACCTGCCAACATTTGCTGATAGCAATGAGGAACACCTGTTCATTATAACAAGCAGCTGTGGAGTGAAGCAGTTCTAGGGGGGTCCAGGGGAGTGCACATATACATATATATGTATA